CAACAGAGTTGTTGCGTTTTTTCTTTCTGTGTGCTAACAATTTTGGCGGTGTTTCCGTATTGTAGCATTTCTGCAAACAATTTCTGTTACCAAGGTCTGCGCCGAAATTGTCAAAAACAGAAATTGTTTGCTGGGTATATATATAAAATTATTCTTTAATTATATTTGACTACTTTGAGATTATATTGTATTATTTGATTCTTGTGTTATAATGCCCCAGTTTATTTCTTGTTGCAGATTACCTTGTGCTTACAACAGCAGTTTTACAAACTGCTTTATGTAACACTATACAACACTATTGATTTATGGCATATTATTTGGTAAGCCTATGACACTACTTCTACATTGCGAAATAGTTTTGTATATTATTGACATTTATATTTTAATTTTAATTTGTTACTTTTTACGGACTGTCTTATAATAAGCTACCTATTTGTAGTATATTAAAAACTTTCAAAAATAATAAATATAAATTGAATATGTGTATGTGCTATGTATAATGTATTTCTAATATATGTATATGTAAAAAATATAATAATTAATATAATAAAATATACGTTAATTAAAATTGTTTATATTTATAATCACAAAATGTAAATTATATTTAATAATAATAACAGAAATATTTTTATTTATTGTTGCAGGTACATTGCGCTTCAATACGGTTATATTGCAGCGCAATCCTGCTAAAGGGGAACATTTTTATATTGTTTTCACATTGCATTCATATTGCATCTACATTGCACAATTACTTTGTAATATTACAATATTGCAATAGGTATATGTTTGCAATCTTACTGTGCTGTATAGTCTTGTTATAGTTAGTAAAATAAATATTTGTGTTTCTATTCTTACCTGAATGTTGGAACATTTTTTGTAAAGTTTTACGCAGACATAATCATCCCATAAATTGCAGAACTTATTAATTGTCGCCTTAATAGAATTGACATATTGATTGCAATAAGAGGTAACATTATAATAGTGAAATAGTTTTTTTGAAGATGAGAGTGAAATTAACCATCTCAAATATAGTACATGTGGCACTTGACGGGTATCAATCTCAATGATTTCCAGATTTGCTATTGAAGGTGGATCTGTTGAGTCAATTTTTCTTTTAAATATACAGTTTAAAAAAAATAAAATGTAAGAACAAATAAAATATAATATCAAATATACTTGTGGATGGTGTTCTGAAGTACAGATCTTGATAAGCTGAAGAATTCTCTGTACTATTATATTCTCTTATTACATAAATAGTTGCTCGATATTGCTCGTCACTAAGTAGTGGTAGATGTATTATGTTTAAGTCAAAATACCAGCGAGATGTAAATTCGATTGCAGTAAAATGTTTTACAACAGTGCTGTTTCCGCTAATTTGTATTTTAGCGTTTAATGGTCCCGAAATTGTCGAGCAATCTTTAGGTGGCTGCCATGATAATGTCCAATTGTGCACTTTTAANTCTGTAAACACTTCCGTTGGTATGTCTACAAAGATGTTGTTTGGTATAGTTTGCTTAAACACAGTGTTATATACGTATATGTATCATTACTTTGCCATATATTAAAATCAATAATAAGTGATTGCAAAAAATAACAACTTTTATATATACCTGATTTGTTTGTATTAAAAGATATCTCTGCGCTATAACTGTTTTGAACTTCATGTGCTGTCACTTGTGCTGTGTAAGACGCATATGGATGTAAATCTGAGAAACTGATTTCAGTTTTGTTTGTAAATTGTTTAATAGGTGGAATGACTGGTGTGGGTACATTTAAATCTTCACAACCATAGTACAAAATAATCTAAGAGAAGAAATCACATAGTAAATAGCATTATTACTAACTTAACCCGGGAAAAAAATGGGTTAGATCTAACTTAAATTTAATAATAAATGGAAAAATAGATCTAATTAGATCCAAATTAAATCTAAATAGATAAAAAGTAGATCTAAATATCCAAATTAAATATAAATAGATATAAAGTAGATCTAAATAAATATAAAGTAGATCTAAATAAATATAAGCAGATTTATTAAATTTACACCTTTATATATTATTAAATCTACTTTAGATCTACTCAGATCTACTATAATTAAAACTACTCAGAATTAAAAGTACTCAGTTAGATTTTAGCAGATCTGAACAGATCTGAGGTGATATGTTACGCAAACAATAGATTTGTAAAGAAGCACTCGTAAAAGAAAAATATTATCCTTGCTTATAATACCTCTCTATACTACGTACCCCATTTTTTCTGTAACTTAGCGCTAAAAATATGATATGACATTTGGCCAAGAGCACGTTTGAACACGTATATGTGTAACTACAAGTTACATGAAGTTACCTTTAATGTTATTTCATACAGCACTATATTTAAGTGATCTGGAGAGTTCCATTTCAGAGTGACTTGTGTGCTTGAGTTGGCAACATATTGAATATCTAATACTCTTGTCGAAACTAATGATATTTATAAAATACAGATATTAGAATAACATACTTATATTATAAAATACAGATATTAGAATAACATATTTATAATATATGAAGCATTTATTTGTGAAAGTTCTTACTGTATTATAGCTATTAATATAAAGACATAAATTTACCGCTTCGTAATGTACGAATATGAGTGAAGTACATGAAGCTATGTTTTATGGTTGTATGAGCAAGTCGCGGATGATTTACAATCACGTTGAAAACAGTATATGGTGATAAACCTGACACTTCATAGGGAAAAGTGGTAACTGTTGAGTTATGAATAGTCTCGTCTGTATTACTATTTTGGAGAGTTAAATGATACCAATGTACTGGACATGGAAACAGATGCTAGAATATAGGAGAAAAAATAAATCTCAAATCGGTATATTAATTTGATACATACTACATTCAATACATACCGCATTGTAAATAAAGTTACTGTTATGTTAGAATAAATAGCAAAATATGTACGTACATCTGAAGCGTTTTGCCAATTAATAATTATACTGTATTCCGTAGACAGTACGTCGAAAGTTTTTATTGCTATATGAAAGTCCAAGAAAACATCCAAATAGTATAAAAAAGAATAGGTTAAAAGAGATATAAAACTTTGTATTATGATAATATGTAATAAATATTGTATTTACACATTTCTTTTGTACTATATCTTTTCTTCTATATGCATGTAATGCAATTTTACACAGACAAAAATAATGATCTCAGATTTTCATACTGCTTTAAATATACACAGTATGTTGTAAAGAATATAAATATATACAAAATATACGTATCTGTATCCATTTGGGAAAAATGGATTGGATCTAATTTAAATCTGACGAGATAAAAAAAAATATAAAAAAACGATCTAATTAGATCCAAATTAAATCTAAATAGATATAAAGATCTAAATAGATTTATAAGTAAATTTCCACTTCATTTTTATTCTTAGATCTACTTTAGATCTACTCAGATTTACTTAGATCTAAGCAAATCTGAACAGAATTGAAGTAATCTAATATAGTAAATCTAAGTAGATCTAAACTAGATCTAAGAATAAATAAAAGTGTAAATTTACATAGATCTATTTAGATATTTCTTATATTTATTTAGATTTAATTTGGATCTTAGATCTATTTTTCTATTTTTTTATCTCGTTAGAAAGAATTTAAATTTAGGTTTAATTCATTTTTTCCCAAACAAAAAAAACAAGAAGTCACAGAAACGTCAAAATAACGTCAAACTGGTAAAAAATATGACGAGACTCACAAAAAATTTTTAATATGGGATTAAAATAATTTAATATAAATTTTATTAAAATTCAATAAAGTAATAATATGTTTATATATATATATATATATATATATATATATGTAATAAAGCTTTAGGCGTTTTATTAAACTTTTATTATGTAGGGTTTAATTTGGATCATATAAAGATCCCTATTAAGTTATATATAATATTATTACATGTCTTTATATATAGATTTAGAATCAAATAAATCCATATTAAACGCGAATTTTTACATATAGATTTAGAATCAAAAAACTATATATAAAATTCTTTATAGAACTTAATATGATTTTATATATTGTTTAATACATATTTACTAAGAATTAACTACAATAACCACTATACGTTAACAAAAAATTCGTTCGCGTTGTAAAAATGTACTTTAAATTAATAAGTAATAATGCGTAATACTTAAAAAATTAAACTACCAATTACTCGTTCGAACCTTATAACAGACAGGTTCAGTATCTTCTTAACGAAATAATGACCTTTTTAGGTCAAAATGACATCATTTTGACTTTTTCGTGACTTCTTGTTTTTCTTGGAAAGTAAAGTGTTATATTTTGTAAACTTATTTAGTGTTCTTTTTGCACAGTACTAAAAGTAATGCGGCGTGCGTGTTTTATACAAACATGTAAGGATTACACAAGAAAAAAAAATCCATACTTACGTTCGCAATCAGTTTCCACACTTTGCCATTTACTTTCAATTATTTCATTTTCTGCAAGTAATATGCATTTAAATGAATAAACAGAACCAAAATTTAAATTGTTAAAGTATCCGATCAAATATGTCATATTTTGAAACAGTCTATTCCATGACTGCGTGAAGATGTAATCATTTTCTCCCTGTAGAAAATATATTAGAAAATGTTATTTCACTTTTTTTTCTTCCAAATACATCAAACTATGATTTGAGTATTAAATTACAAAGACAGTTTTTGATACTGATAACTTATCATAAAAAACTCTTTTTAATGTTTGTTCCAATTCTGTTATAAAACAATTAGTAAACGTTACCGCAATAGTAAACGAATAAATTATTTGTATTTTTTCATATTCCTCTTTCCACTTTATAGGAAGTTTAATTCGGATGCTTGTTGAAGTGATAGAGACAATTTCAGGTTCCGTGAGCTTATCTATTCCTTAAAAATCAATATAATATTCGTCTAACATCTGTTATAAGAATGACAAAAGTGTCTGACAAATATAATTACAGTAGTGTAAACCAGAAAAAGTTTTAAATTACCTATATGACACAAGGGTGGCACATAAAATATTTTCAAGGTATCAACACATCCGTTGATACATTCTCCAGTTACTTTATTACATCCAAAAGATTTGCATAAACCGCACTTGTTTGCACAATTATATCCATACCAATTGTAGTCACATACTGCAATTATATTTATAATAATATAAAGGTTAATAATTTATATATATTTAATATAATAATATAAATATTAATAATATACACTCGTAATATACAAGATGTATAAAAAGTACCGATACCGCGAAAAATCTCTACAACTAGGCATTTTACCAAAAAGTGTTCCAGATAAAAGTTGTAGAGTTTTAAAGGATCTATTTATGGTCTTATCAGTTTGACCTTAAATGACATTGCCAAGATCAGGTCAAGGTCACATTAATTTTTTAGATGGCGCCGCTTTGATCTTCGCGGCGCCATTCAAGGTCACACTGATACAATTAGTAAATAGATTCTTTTAAACCCTACAAATTTTATTTGAAACATTTTTTTGTAGAAAACTCTACAAATTGTATTTGAAACATTTTTTTGAAACATTTTTTAGTAGTTTTTGAGATTTTTTGCAGTACCGGTACTTTTTATCAGAGGTCAAAAGAGTTCCAAAAATAACTGTTTCAAACTGTTATATATCGGTTCTTACTGAAACAGTTTCAAAGAACAGTTATTTTCTATAACAGTTTTAAAAAGCAAAATTCATGAAAATATTGATTTCGATTACGATGCTAATATCGGCTCCAATATTGGTTCTATATCGGTTGTATATCGGTTATGATTCTAATATTGGTTATAAATCGGTTTTATTGCGCTTCTGTATCGGTTACGGTTACGGTAACAGTTAATAATATTCATTCTTTGGTTATACTTCAAGTCTACACACAGAGAGAAAAACTTCTTTAAATTTAATAATCCGATTTGTTTGACTCATATTTGTTGCATTCAAACAATATAATTTATTCACATAGCATTGTTACCCACATAGCACGTAATATTACTGCAATATCACAGTAATATTGTTTTTCGATTGCAATATTACACTCTAATATAGTAGAAATATCATAGTAATATTACTGTAATATCACAGTAATATTAAAATGTCCGCCGAATCGCATCTCAGTAATATTACGATGATATATCACAGTCACGAAGTAAGAGTAAAGAGATCGAACTCCGTGATACAAAAGTGATCCCGATTTTTACGGTTCATTGGGAAAGAATCTGCTCAAGGGAATAGGTTTTTATGGTTGGACGTCATTTGCAAAACTGTGCATGTACACAACTAACACATGTACACGTTTAGTGTATGTAATCTATCTTGTTACATATCTAAACGTGTACATGTGTTAGTTGTGTACATGCACAGTTCTGCAAATGACGTCCAACCGTAAAAACCTATTCTCTTGAGCGGATTCCCTCCCAATAAACCATAAAAATCGGGACCACTTTTTCCATTCGCGCGCTATCAAGTTCGATCTCCTTACTCTTACTTGTGATCACAGTAATGTTGTGGTGATATATCAAGAATATTACTGTAATATTGTAAGGTTATAGATTAATTTAATATTAAATTACTTCTAAGGTGGAAAATATAGGCCGATTGGAGTTTAAACACGATTGTTAATGTGTCAGAAATTTATGTATTTATTATTAATATGTTACAGACGTTTCGACCGTAGTTCCAGTCCTTTTCAATATATCTATACAATAATAAATTTTGAAATCAAATATGGCAGTCAAAACGTCTGTAACATTTTATTAATAAATTCATAACTATATCTGACACACTAACAACCGTGTTTAGACTCCAATCGGCCTATACTTTCTTAGAAATACTTTAAAAACTTAGAGCCGTTCTTAACTAAAACTACATTGATAATTTAATTAAAAAAAAAATTAATCCGAAAAGGAGATAAACTACTTTAACAGATTGATCAAAGACTTTATGAGTTAAATTTTTGTATTAACTGTATGCTCCGAAGTGCATAACAAAAGATTTCTTGAGAGAGATCATAAAAATGGTCCATTGAGTCATGAACGTGATTACATATATAGAAGAATATAAAACATTGTATTTAGATTTATTTTATTTAAATTGTTTTATTTTATTTAAACAATAATAAAAATAACTGCGTTATATTAAAGGATAATAGTATCGTCTGCGTCCTTAATATCGCTAAAAGTCAAAATAATAAATTTATATATTATAGAAACAAAATTTATAATAATTTATATATTATAGGAACAAAACCTTATAATACAAATTTGTTTCTTAATCATGCGAATCACATTTAGGAATCAATATTTAGAAATAGTTACAGTAAGACGAAACAGATATATAGAATCATAGTTTTGTCAAAATATTTGCGCCGAAGCTTAAAATTCCGTACCACGATAAATTTATTATCTTACAAATTCTACACACAATTGTACCTACATTGTAAAAACTATATGCATAATAAATTAACTTTAATACTATTTTAATATGTGAAATTTACATATACATACACATATACATATATATGCATACACATATATATACATACACATACACATATACACAGTTTGTCCGGAAAGTTCCCGGACTACGTGAATTAAAAATCGAAAATGAAAGATATGGTTTATTAAACAAGTTTACACTTC